CAGAACATGCAAGCAAAGACTGGCAAGACCTATGTGCAAAAGTACTGTCCTGCACAGAGGCATCACCATGTTTAGTGACTAGCACTGACTCAAGAATCTCAAATACTTTCCAGTTGGGAACCAAGGATGTTCAGAAGGTGTGTTGGGCCTCACAACTGGATTCTATAAAGTGTATTTAACAGTCTGGGTTTGCTCTATTTTTCCCAAAGGTTCCAGTCTTAGGTGTCTTTATGGGCTGACTTCTTTGCCAAGAACTCCCATCTTTGTCACCTGCAGTGAAACCTTAAGGGTAAAGGGCTAGGATTTTAGCTTCCGTCCTCAACATCACACTAACCCATAAGCCTGACACAATCTTGCACAGGGGAGATGGAGCTACCAGAACCAGGTGTCCACACAGTGTCCCCTCTGAAGAGGTGCAGAGATACACCTGCCAGATGGAATTGAAGGCCAAACACAACACTTCCTGTGACCCCTCATGAGGAGCAAAGGAAACAACCTGATATGAGGGCTCAGATCTCGGGAGGGTTGAAGCCCAATAAGGGTTGATGCCAGTAAGGATTAAGAACGCAAGTTCCCAGGGCACCTGGGCAGTTCAGTCTGTTAACTGTATGGCTCTTAATCTCAGTTCAGTTCTTGATCTCAGGGTCCTGAGTTCAAGCCCAATGTTTCAAAAAATGCAAATTTTCATGAAATGTATCCAATGCATTGAGCAGAAGATGGAATAATTGCTACTACTAAGATGATTGTCAAACATCCTGGATTTGTTATTGTACTAAGTGTACTTTGGAAGAAAAACATCATATTGAGGTGTTTGCTCAGGTGAGGAACAGAACTTGATGAGGGAGAGAAGAAAAGGCTCTAAGCCTCACCTGTTTAGGGAGCAAGGGGCTCTGTCATCAATCAACACAGCCCCACAGCAGATGGGCTTTCTTCCCGCTTACAGATAGGTGCTGGAGTGGGAGGTGGACAAATAAGGAGCCACCCTGTGTCTTCCTCCTGTGGTCCCCCTTGCAGCCAGAGAGAGCTTGGTGGTCTGATTTTTTACTTACCTTTGCTTCTTCCTCTTTGTGGCACAACAGACCATGAGATGAGAAGTGTGTGGCTACAAGGGCTGCCTGGTTGGCTTAGTCGGTTAAGCCTCTGTCTTCAGCTCAGGTTATGATCCCAGAATCTTGGGATTGAGTCCCTGTGCTGGATTTCCTGCTCAGCAGAGAGCCTGCTTCTTCCTCTCCCACTCCCCCTGCTCTCTGGTCTTCTCACACTCTCTCTGTGAAATAAAATATTTGGGGAAAAGAAAAGTATGAGACTAAACACCTCTAAATCTGGAGAAATAACTGGGAACCAAGGCCTCACCCTGAGAAATAACCAAATGGATATAGACAGGAGCTCTGTTGGTGATTCTAGGCAATGTCACAGCCAGCCTGACAGGGCAGAAGGAGGGCAGGGCCAGGGCACCAGTCAGTGGCTGAGCTCCAACTGGGTTACGCATAAACTGGAAATGCCAAGAGCCAGCTCCTACTTGTGTCCTCTCCTCCATGGGCCTGACAAACATGGACAGTGGTATGAGGTCTTGGCCTTTTTCACCCTACAAAGAGCGAGGAAACCCAAGAGACAAAGATTCCCAAAGGACTGACAGCTGATGATGCCACCAAGATGAAGAAGGAGAGGCCCATTATAGGGAAACACCAGAACAAAGAAGGTTTTGTTTCCTATCTCAAAGAAGGAAGATGCTCTCCTAATAATAAGAGAACGATGTTAAATATTTATTCAATTTTTGTGTGTTGTCTTCTGTTTAGTCTCCCTGATAAAGAAGGTCCAGAAAGGCAGAGCTTTTAAGTTTTTAATAAATTTTATTTTTATAGCAATTTTAGGTTCAGAGCAAGATTGAGAGAAAGGTACACATTTGTCCCACATCCCCCTTGTCTGCACACATGATTAACCTCCAGCATTATCTACATTCTCCACTAAAGTGGTACTTTTGTTTCAATTTATGAACCTATATTGACACATCACAATCAGCTGAAGCCCAAAGTTTATGTTCGGGTTCAATCCCCATGTACAATCTATGGGTTTGGACAAAGGTACAATGACACACATCTATCATTACTGTATTCTACAGAGAAGTTTCAGTGTTCTGCCTAAACCTCCTTCCATCTGCTTTGACCCTGGCAACCACTGATCTTTTTCTAGTCATCCTACTTTTGCCTTTTCATATGCTCAAAGACTATACAGCTGGAGTCACTGAATGTCATATAGTTGGAATCATACAATATGCAGCCTTTTCAGATTGACTTCTTTCACTTAGTAATATGTGTTTAACATTTTTCCATGCCTTTTCATGGCATGATAGCTCATTTCTTTTCTTTTCTTTTTTTTTTTTAAAGATTTTATTTATTTATTCATGATAGTCACACAGAGAGAGAGACAGAGAGGCAGAGACACAGGTAGAGGGAGAAGCAGGCTCCATGCAGGGAGCCCGACGTGGGATTAGATCCCGGGTCTCTAGGATCGCGCCCTGGGCCAAAGGCAGGCGCCAAACCGCTGCGCCACCCAGGGATCCCGAGCTCATTTCTTTTTATCACTGAGTAATACACTCCTTTTTCTGGATATATCCTAGTGTTGTTTGTTTGTTTGTTTTTAACCTCTTCACATCCTTAAGGACATCTTGGTTGCTTCTAAGTTATGGCAACTATGGATAAAATTCCTATAAATGTCTGTTTACAGGTTTTTATGTAAAGAAGAGATTTTCAACTCTAGGTAACAGCAAGGAGCATGACTTACCAGATGATAAGAGTATGTTTAGTTTTCTAAGAAAATAGCAAACTTTCCTCCAAAGTGGTGGTACCATTTTTCAGACCCATCAGCAATGAATAAGAATGTTAGTCCACATCCTTCAGTGTCAGCGCTTAGAACTTTGACCATTCTAATAGGTGTGTAGGGGTATCTTATGGTTGCTTTGAATTCTCCAGATAATATAAGATGCAAAGCATCTTTCTATGTGCTTATTTGCTATCTGTATTTTTGCTGAGGTGTCTGTTAAGATTTTTTTGCCATTTTAAATTGAGTTTTTTACTGAATTTTAAGGATTTCTTTTCTTTTTTTTAAAAGATTTTGTTTGTTTATTTATTTATTTATTTATTTATTTATTTATTTATTTATTTGAGAGAGACAGAGAGAGAGAGAGAGACAGAGAGAGAGAGAGAGAGAGAATAGGCAAAGGGTTCCTGGGATCACACCCTGAGCTGAAGGCAGATGCTCAACCACTGAGCCATCCAGGCGTCCCGAATTTTAAGGGTTCTTTATATTTTTTATATAACAGTCCTTTAACAGATGTCTTCTGCAAATATTTTCTCCAAGTCTGTGGCTTGTCTTTTAATTCTTTTCACATTATTTTAGCAGAAATAAAAAGTTTTAATGAAGTCCAGAAAATTCTTTTGTGAATTGTTTCTATTGTTTTATTTAAAAGATCACTGCCAAACCCAATGTTATAGAAGTTTTCTATTTTCTATAAGATTTATAGATTTGCATTTTATATTTAGATCTGTGATCTATTTTGAGTTAATTTTTGTGAAAAGTGTAAAGTCTAGGTTAATTTCTTGCATGTAGACATTTAGTTGTTCCAGCATTTGTTGAAAAAACAATCTTCTCAATTGTACTGCCTTTGCTCCTTTGTCAAGTATCATCTGACTATATTTTTGTGGGTGTTTATACTACTGTGGGTTTTCTATACTGCTCCATTGATCTCTTTGTTTCTCCAATACAATACTGCCTGATTACCGTATCTTTTTTTAAAAAAAAATGTGTTTATTTATTCATGAGAGATACAGAAAGAGAGGCAGAGACACAGGCAGAGGGAGAAGCAGGCTCCCCGTGGGAAGCCTGATGCAAGACTCAATCTTATGACCCTGGGATCACAACCTGAGCAAAAGGCTGATTGATGCTCAACCACTGAGCCACCCAGGTGCCACGTGATTACTATATCTTTACATTTAGTTCCTGAAGTTGGGTAGTGTCAGCTCTCTTTGTTCTCTCTTAATATTGTGTTGGCTATTCAGGGTCTTTGTTTCTCTAAGTAAACTTTAGCATCAGTTAGTTGATAGCCACAAAAAAAGAATTTCTAGAATTTTTATTAGAATTGCATTAAATCTATAGATCAATTTGGGGAACAGTGAAATCTTAACCATATTGAGTGTTCCTATCCATGAACCTGAAATTCTTCATTTATTTAGTTTAATATCTTTAATAAGAGTTTTGTAGTTGTCTTCATATAGTCTTGTATGTATCTTTTTTTTTTCTTTGTATATATCTTGTTAGATTTATACCTAAGCATTTTATTTTTGGGTACTAATGTGAGTGGTATTGTGTTTAATTTCAAATTCCACTAGCTCATTGCTGTTTTATAAGAAAGGGATTTACTTTCTTTACCTTATATCCTGAAATCTGGTGCTTTTTGTTTTGGAAAATTAATTATTAATTCAATTTCTGTAGTGGCTATGGCCTATTTATATTGTCTATTTCTTGTGTAAATTTTGACAGATAGTGTCTTTCAAGGAGTTGGTCTATTTAATCCAGGCTATCAAATTTGTGGGTACAGTATGCCTTGATAACCCTTTCAATGTCCACGGATTCTAAAGTTTCATCCTCTTGTTAACTTCTGCTGCCAGTAAGTTGTGTGTTCGCCTTTTTCTTAGACCAGCTAGAAGTTTATCAATTTTATTATCTTTTAAAAAAACAAGCATTTAAAAAAAATTTTTTTTAAATTTTTATTTATTTATGATAGTCACAGAGAGAGAGAGAGAGAGAGAGAGAGAGAGGCAGAGACACAGGCAGAGGGAGAGGCAGGCTCCATGCACTGGGAGCCCGATGTGGGATTCGATCCCGGGTCTCCAGGATCGCGCCCTGGGCCAAAGGCAGGCGCCAAACCGCTGTGCCACCCAGGGATCCCACAAACATTTTTTTAAATACTGAAAAAAGTTAACAGTTTATATAATTTATTTTATTTAACAATCTAGGAAGTTCGCAGCCGTCAGCAGTTCCAGTGCAATTTCAGGTGCAATTGGGAATTCAGGAATCTCTGTGGAGCTGTTAGTGTAGTGAACCTTGTAGGTAAAATACATGCATACTTTTGATAGCACATGTGAAGGGATCTCTCTAAAATTGACTTCATTAGTTTCATTCTCAGCAAACTGACCTGGGCCACTCAACATGGCTTTTATTGTTCCGGATGTTAGTGCATGTTCTCTTTTTACAATGAATTCATGACCATCCGAAGATATCAATTTGACATACATGGCATCAGGGCCTTCACAGCCACCATAGGTTTTCTCTTCTCCATCCATTATGTTCTTATGAAATTCTACTTTACTTCGACAGGAACTTTAGTAGTTGTTTCTCGTCAGCCTTGCAGCCACCACATCCACCGTGCCGGCTCCCCACGCACTGCCACAGCCCCCACTCCAGGGCCCAAAAACAAGCTTTTTAATGTCATTTGTTTTCTCTCTTTTGATTTCTTGTTTTCAATGTTATTTATTTATGCTCTAATTTTCATTGTTTATTTTCTTCTGCTTACTTTGAACTTAATGGGCTCTTTTTCTAGTTTCCTAAGGGGCAGTTTTAATGATATTAGATCTTTTTCAACATACGCAGTTACTGATATAAATTACCCTCTAAACACTGCTTGCACTATGTTCCATTAATTTTGATTAGTTTTCATTTTCATTTAGTTGAAAACATTTCTAAAATTTTCCTCAAGATTTCTTTCTTGCCCCATGTCTCATTTAGAAGTACACTTTAATCTCCAAGTGTTTTGGAGAATTTCCAACCATCTTCTGATTATTGATTTCTAGCTTAATCCATGTGGTTTGAGAGCAGATATTGCACAATTAATATCCTTTTAAAATTGTGTGTTTTGTGGTTGAATGTGGACTATTAAATAGTTTCATGTGAATCTGAGACAAATGTGTAACATGCTGCTGTTGGATGAATTAGTCTATTGAAGGTGCTGTTGATGTCAAGCAAATCTTCCGTGATTTTCTCCACATTGGATCTGCCCATTTCTGTGACAAGTGCTGAAGTCCCCAAGTCAATAGTGAGTAGATTGATTTATTTCTTCTTGCAGTTCTGTCAGTTTTTCCCTCACATATTTTGACACTCTGTATTTAGGTTCATACACATTAAAAACTGTTACATCCTCTCTAACAACTGACCCATTATATTATTATGTAATGGTTCCCTTTACCCCTGATACATTTCCTTGTTCAGAAGTTTATTCTGTTTGAAATTAATATAGCTACTCTTGTTTTCTTTTGGTTAGTGTTAGCATAAGATCTCTCTCTCCATCATTTACTTTTAATCTACATGTGTCTTTATTTTATTTTTAAAGACTTTATTTATCCATTTGTAAGACACAGAGAGAGAGAGGCAGAGACACATGCAGAGGGAGAAGCAGGCTCCCTTCAGGAGCTCGATGCAGGACTTGATCCCAGGACCCTGGGATCATGACCTGAACCAAAGGCAGACACTCAACCATTGAGCTACCCTGGTGTCCCTATGCATCTTTATTTTAAAAGTAGGTTTCTTGTAGACAATACGTAGTTAGGTCATTTTTTTTTTAACCTATCCTGACAATGTTTTTTGATTACTGCATTCAGGTCATTGATGTTCAACATCAGTACTGATATAGTTGGATTAATGTCTGAATTTATTACAGTTTTTAAAAAAAGATTTTATTTATTCATTCATGAGAGACACACACACACACACACACACAGAGGCAGAGACACAGGCAGAGGGAGAAGCAGGCTGCATGTAGGGAACCTGATGTGAGACTCGATCCCAGGTCTCCAGGATCATGCCCTGAGCTGAAGGCAGTGCTAAACCACTGAGCCACTCAGCCCTTATAACAGTTTTCTATTTGTTGCTTTTATTCTTTGTTTCTATTTTTGTCTTCCACTCTTTTCTGCTTCTTGTGGTTTTAACTGGGCATTTTATAGGATTCTAATTTCTCTCCTTAGCATAATAACATTTATTTGTTTTTACATTTCTTAATAAAACTTTGCAATACACATTTAAAACTAACCTGAATCTACTTTCAAGTAACACAATACTGCTCCATGGGTACTACAAATACATTATAATAAGAAAAAATATATTTAAATATATATATACACACATATATACATATATACACATATATGTGTGTGTGTGTGTATATATATATGTATATATATATAGTGTGTGTTTGTGTATTTTTGTCCGAGAAAGTATTTCTTCTTCACTTTTGAAGGATAATTCCACAGGGTATGTAAATTCTAGGTTGGTGAGGCTTTTTTTCTATCACACTAAACACTTCACCCCCTCTCTTTCTTGCTAGCATGGTTTCTGAGAAGTTGGATATAATTTTTATCTTTGCTTCACTACAGGTAAAGTGGTTTAAAACAAATTTTTCAGGACTTTTTTTGTTTCTGGCTTTCTATGGTTTGAAAATGACATGTCTTAGGTATAGTTTTGGGATTTATCTTATCTTGCTTTTTCTCTGAGTTTCCTGGATCAGTGGTTTGACAAGTGTTTGGCAAGAGTAACAGGGAAATTCTCAGCCATTTGTATTTCAAAAATTGCTTCAGTTAATCTCTTTTTCTTCTCCTTCTGACATTTCCATTAACTGTATGTTACCCTTTCTGCAATTATCCTATATTCTTAGATACTGTCTTTTTTTCTCTTTGCTTTTCAGTTTTAGAACTTTTATTAAAATATCCTGAAGCTCAACGGTTCTTTCCTCAATCCTGTCCAGTTACTAGTAGTCTTTGTTAGTAGTAGACTCCCTTAGGTAGTCTTTTCTTTATTTCTGTTATAGTGTTTTTGACATCTAGCATTTCTGTTTGGCTCTTTCTTAGAATTTCTATTTCTCTGTTCTTTTGCCTTCTAAGGGCAGAGTTTAGGAAAGGCTACAAACAAATGACCATATAAATAAACTAAATCTCAAATGAATTAAAATTAAGAAGCCCACACAGAAAATTAATCACTGCCAACGGAGTCCATAAATTTTCTGCCTACAGATACCATCAACTCCAGCTCTGCCAGCCAGGAGACAGAAAGTCAGCTAATGGAGAGGCCATGAGCTGGGATACAGGATGCCTTCACAGCATCTTTGGGGAGGAAAGAGGGAAGTATGGGACAGATGAAGAAAGTGCCATTTATTCTTGTTCCTTGCCTTGGGCAATAGGCAAAAACTCTGGTAGAAACAAATGTCTCAGGTGACATTAAAGGACAGGGGGATCCCTGGGTGGCTCAGCAGTTTAGCTCCTGCTTTTGGCTCAGGGCGTGATCCTGGAGTCCCGGGATCGAGTCCCATGTCGGGCTCCCTGCATGCAGCCTGCTTCTCCCTCTGCCTGTGTCTCTGCCTCTCTCTCTCTCTCTCTCTGTGTGTGTGTCTCTCATGAATGAATAAATAAAATCTTAAAAAAAAAAAAAAGGTACATGGGATCCCTGGGTGGCGCAGCGGTTTGGCGCCTGCCTTTGGCCCAGGGCACGATCCTGGAGACCTGGGATCGAATCCCACATCGGGCTCCCAGTGCATGGAGCCTGCCTCTCTCTCTCTCTCTCTCTCTCTGTGACTATCATAAAAAAAAAAGGTACAGAAGCGTGGGAACTGGATCTGAGTGGAAAAAGACAGTGCGGCCAGACCTCCCCTTGTACTTAATTATAGCCCTTTTCTCCTCTGCCATATACTGCACACTGCTTCCTGTCCTGTGAGTTGTCTTAGTTGGGACCCATCATCCGATGCCTTGCCTGATCTGTCACTCCATCCCATCATGCACATGTCTGTATGGCTAGCCTCCTGCACAGTATTATAGAGTTACAGCAATTATGGAGATGTTTAATTAATTAATTAATTAATTAGGTAGACCACTGAGAGGCTGGGCAAGCCCCTGCAAGGTGAAACATGCAGGAGAGCAAGCACTGATAACTCCAGGCCACACCACCAGTGTGGGCAGAGGCAGGGGTACCTGAGTGTACATGACTTCTCTTCCTAAAGAGGTGTCTTTGGTCAGATCAGGTACTGCTCTCTGAACCACAGTTTTTTCCTCTTAAAATGGAGATAGTAACGTCCACTTCTCAGGGTTGTTTGGGGAATAATGTAACCAAAAATCCTGGTGCAGAAACACAGAAGGTACCAAGTCACTTTGTCTCCATTCTGACAGTTCCTACTTTTCACTAACTCCTTCAGGGGGAAGAGAGGCTATAGGAATTAATGAAAAGGTACACATCAAAAAAGGTAAGAGGGAGCAGGTGAGTGTCTTAGTCTTTTTGGGCTACTGTATCAAAATACCTTAGACTGGGTGGCATATAAACAAGAGATGCTTATTTTTTCACTATTCTGAAGGCTGGGATATCCAAGATTATGGTTCTTGTCTGGTGAGGGTCTTCGTTCTTGTTGATGGCCATCTTCTCACTGTAATCTCATTTGGCAGAAGGGGCTAGGGAGCCTGTGAAGTCTTTTTTTTTTTTTTTTAAGAACACTACTCCAAATTATGAAGGCTCCTCCCAAATGAACTAATCACATACTAAAGATCCCACCTCCTAACACTATCATTCTAGGGGTTAGCACTTCAACATATGAATTTTGGGAGAGACACAAATAGTTGATAGCAGTGAAGTAGCTGAGAAGAAGGGAGTTTGAGGAAAGCAGAAGAGAACAGAGAGGGAAAGAGACAGAGACTCTAAGGCTGCTGGGTTGTGAGATCACTGTGAACGTCCAACTTGCATTCTGCATATGCATTCTCACTAAAAAGAAAGGCACCAGAAATATTGGTTTAGGATGTCAACACACACCTCTTTCAATGTCATAGTGGCTAGACCCAAGTCTGGGGGCTAGACTCTCCTAAACAGAGAAGCAGCAGGAGACTTCTCCCTGATACCTGCCACATTATTTCCTTTTTGCCTTTCTTGAAGACTTTAAGGTGCTTCAGGAAAATGGGATATATTTAAAATGTAGTTCTTTTTCTGAATTGCATAAATTCTGGTTCTCCTGAAATCATGTCACAGAAGGGCTCTGTACTAGAACATTCTGTAAGTGCAGAAAAGGGACATTAAAAACAAGATAATAGGGCCAAAATGGAGTTGCTTATGCTAAGCCCCATGTCACCAAAACAGTTTTGGTGTTTAAAACAGTTTAACAGACAACTTAATTAGTTTTGGGTCTCCTCGAAATGGATTTTTTTTTTTGAGAGTGTGTGCAGGGGTGGGGGGAGAGGGTGAGGGTGAGGGAGAGATAGAATCTTAAGCAGACTCTACACCCAGTGTGGAGGGCTTGATCTCACAACCCTGAGATCATGACGAAGCCAAAATCGAGTCAGACCTATAACGGACTGAGCCATCCAGG